GATAGCACCCTATGGGATTCTAGTGGTATGTTAGCACTAAGATAATGGCTATTTGCACTTTTTTTGGATATTCTAGATTAAACATGGAGCTTTGAAGCTTCTAAAAGATACTTCATGTTTTACTTGAAGCCTGTGACAGACATTTTAGCATATTTTTTACCTTGTTGCAGTTTGACAGTGGAAAAATTGCAATCAGATACTGTCCTCAAATCATTCAGCCCTACTTCTATATTATACTTCTGTATAACACACCAAGAACCATATGTCCAAGCCAAGAACAATTGAGGAACTGCTACTACGAGTGGACATTACATGCATTCTTGCCTAACATTTAGAGATGGAACTACACATTTTTTTCCAAAACCGATGTTGAATCTGTGTCATTTGTAGTATCACATACCTCAATCTTTAAATAAAGAAGAGCAGCTGAGGGAAGGAAAAAGAAAGATTTAGGTGACCACAAATCTGTTCAGTAAGTGTTGAAATGTTGTGACCAATCTCCATATGGGCTCCTCAGTGGCTGCCTTGAGTGGTACACCATTATCATCAGAACAGTCCCTTCCATTACTCATGGAGATGTAGAGAAACATCACCCCGCTGGAGCACAAATCATAACCAAAACCATGCTAGGGCGAAGCTTGTTGATTATCTCTGTGACCATCTCTGCGGTCTCGGGGAACAAAATGAAAATACAAGCAAAGAGCCTCAGAATGAAAGTCATTTATAATATTTACCACCAGGCTGATGTTTTCTGGATAGAAACAAAGAGGTAATAAGTGGAACTGATGTTTCAATCATCATGAGCCATTTTTGTCAAAGAAGGTAAAATATTTTCACAGCAGATCTGAGTCATTTTCTCACCCAAGCTAAAACACATTCATCCTCTTGAAAGGTGATTTGTGCCTTGCTTTGTTCATCTGCTCTGGCAAACCAAATATTTTACCTTGGGGAATGTGGACAGTTTTCTTCTCATACCAAACATAAGAGAACCACAATACTAAGGGGAAACTTTTCCTGATGATGAACTAAGACACCACTATATCAAAGAGTTTAGGATCCTTGGACATCCACTGGATGACCCAGGCCACGGGTATGTTCAATGGGAAATGTAGCATTAGACCATGATAACCACTAGGGCTGTTTTTGACCATATCATGATATATGCTAATGGTGTAATGATTTATTACAATATCAAAAAACTGATAAAAATGGTTTAAAACAACTAAATTTAAAACTGTACTACCAAGACAGGCCTCTTCTGAGGTTCTCTCATTTGCTGTCTTTCATGGAGGCCAATATCTGTGATCAATTCTATACATCTATGCATATTCTGTCAGAGTAAAGTAAGGAAGGAAGGGGCTTAAGCCAGCAGTATACTTTGAATGAAAACAACATTTTGAAGCAAAACAAGGTCGTTTGGGTGAGCTTGTACGATGCCATGTGTGCTGCTTATTAAACAGGCCTCCTAATCACCATCTTGTTTGTTCTGAGACCTCCTCCTGACTATGACTGATCCTAAAATTATACCTACCAGTGGCTGCAAAATCCAGAAGCGGAATCTGGATTCAAGGTCCTGAATGGTACTACCACTGGGTTATTACTTATGTTGCATACTGTATTTCATAGTTGCAACGCCAAATTCGATTCAATTAAAGTTTAATTATCCCCGCATAGCAATTTTCAAGGGGGTTTTTCAAAACTTCTGCAAAAAAATCAATGGTTTATATGTAAACAAAATCACGAGAGTGATATGATGTAAGATGTTACATTTTAAACTTACTGAGTAAGAACTGCTCAATTGTGGTGATAGGAACCAGACGTCTGAAGTGTTTAACGATCTAAAAGATCCCACACACACAGTTATTACATGAAATGGTTATGAAGCCGCCTGATATCTGAGACATTGTTTCAAAACAGTTTTGAGATATGATTTTGACCTAAAAGGTATTTTTTTTAAATGCGTTGATAGTGGAGAGGTATATGCAGGTAGTTCTGAGGCAAAATATTATTCATACTGTTCAGCTTTCATTCCTTTCTAGTGGCATTAGGAGGCTTTGGGTGAAGTAACTGTGCCAAAGCTTCACTGCAACTTTTACTGGGCCACTTACATGCAGTCGAGGGAGACGTTTGTAGCTACCTGAATAAAAGAGAGGTTTTCCACATTATTCTTCTTTAAATGACAACTATATTAAGCTCCCTTCACCTTCTCCAGTCTTTCTGCCAACCCTGCCTTTCTGGAGCCCATTACGGAAACCCTGCTGACAGGTAGTCAGTCCAGATCATGCTGAGAGGTCAATACTGACTTCAGCACCCCGGACAGCTCTCAAACAACACCACAAACTGAACAACCCACTGCCTACACAATAACAGCTCCGTGAAAACCACAAACAGGCCATGGAGGTCAGCCAGGCCAAATGCACTCCATATTTAAATTTCACACTATTGATAATCGCATTTTTAAGTGCATAATTTACAAACTGTTTGCTTAATATACGCTTAAGGCCTCTGAGGATCAATAACAGTGAATCACTGCTATTCATTCTGTTTCTCTGAGCGCTCACACTCTATCGAGCAGGGAAAGAAAAAAAATCTTTAAAATAAATAAATAATAATTTCACTTGAGGTACCTAGAGGTCTATCCAAAGCACTGGTAATATATATTTAATAATAACTAGTTAAAGGGGAATTCCACTGATTTTTTTTAAATGTATGCATAATTCAATTATTGAAATGTAAACAAAGTCATTCAGAGTAGTTTGGTGTAAAATGGTTCACGGTAGAGAAATTTACCGACTTAGGTTTCTTTATGGTGGTGGTGATAGGAACCAGGGGTCTTAATGTCTACGATGTGAAAATATAGCCCTTTTACACACTATCTGACTCTTTAAGTTTCTCTAAAATGACACATTTCACATCAAACCACTCTGAATGACTTTGTTCACATCTTAACCATTTATTTAGGCAGAATTTTCTGGAAAATTAAACAATTAAAAAGGGGGGTATAACTTTGACTCAAGTCCAAATTAATGACTGGGTAATTCTAAATGAGTTTCATTCATGCATCATCCAATTATACAATAATTGCTTTAGCACATCAGTGACGTCTGCACATAGTACTGAACAAAACCATTAAAACCCAGCAGAACAAAATCATATGCACTGTTCAAAATAAAGGTTCTTAAATAGTTCTTGGCTCAGAAATATGGTCCTGGAAAAAATCCTGTACATGTAAAGGGCCTTTATATTATGTGGAGGTTCATTAACTTTAAAAATGTTTTCACCTAACCAGCTTATTCACAAAACCAGTTTTTCAGGAACCATTCAATGAAAGGTTCTTCAGGGAACCAAAAGTGATCCTTCTAAGGCATCGCTGATTGTTTTCATCTGGCACCTTTATTTTTAAGGGGGCACTCCAGCCAAAATTTTAAATGTCTTACAGCGTCTGTTGTAAACATTCCTAAAGTGGTGCCACAGTAGGATTTTCCAGTTTAAAGACTAAGAAAACCCCCTTCTGATGATGTAGCAATGAAGGTGGGAGGAGCTTTTGAAAAACTACAGGTGCTTTCTGGTGGCCTGTTTACATTTTTTTCCTACTAGCTGGCTAATGCATAAGGAAACGTCACTGCTAGGGAGCTGTATGTATGTAATACGAGTGGTATTTCTTTGTCACTGTGGGGGGATTCTCAATGGATCTATGGCATATTTGCATTATGCATGCTGGGTATTGTAGTGAGAAAACACTGATGGACGAAAACCAAATAAAAAGATACACGCTTATATTTCTGTCAAACCTTTGAGGCCGAGCGATGCAATGCTGCATAACAGAATATTACATAACATGACAAGTAACATTAAAGCTAGTTTTAAGCTGGAATGTCCCTTTAAGCATGTAACTGGGCTCACTGGTTATTATAGCAAACTGAAAGCATAATGTCCACCTGAATGAAACATCACCTCAACATAACTGCTGACAAAAGTAAACTAAAATATTAAACTGTGCTAATATACACTATTCTTGTGTAAATTCAAAGTGAAGTTAATGCATGACTTCTTTTCAATGCACAGTTATGAGGACTAAGAGATGAAGACACATGTAGCTTGTATGACAATGGAAAAATCTGCCGTAAGATTTGGTGAATGGCCAGACTTGGAGTGTTCCCTATGGCGCGTGCAGAAGGATAAAGCTATCTGAGGCTCTTTGATGCGTCAACTGCCATGTGTATTATGACAAACTGTTACATAACCGAGTCAGGATGTCCTCACTGGCATTCAGCTGGATGTAGAAATAGGGAAAAAAAAAAAAACACAGAGCATGCAATCACAGTGTTAGTGACTCTCTTTCTCTCTCTCTCTCTATCAGTCTCTTTCCTCGGTTTGTTTATCCATTCTACACTGAAGTCAATGGTGCTCGAATAATTCGAACAAAATACGTCACATCAACACAATTTTGTCTTCAGTTGACTTAGTTCTGGAAGAAAAACTACACTGATTTATATACAACCACACAACTAAATCATGTACATTCAAAGCACCATTTGTTATACAATATGCATCCCACCTCGAGCATGCTATCTCGACCTAAAACGACTAATCGTGAACGGTTAACGACGTTATTCGCCCTAGAATGTACAAATGTGACGCTACAGGCGCTCAGCTCGCGCTTTGCCGTCTGTTGTGCTGGACAGCAGCTGACCTTTTTTTTTCATATGCACGATTTTCCATCGTTTGCATGCAGCTTTGCGTGTCCATTACTTCCATTCAGAGCAATAGCATCGCAGCAGTGCTTAGGCGAGCTTTAAGACAGAGAAAGGCAAAAAAAGACGAGCTTCTTACAAGCTGCTGACCCTTTGCGGTGTAGGGTCGCTGGGCAAAACACGCAAGCTGCCAGAGAAAAACAAACGACGAGGTCGAATGGAGACGAAACGAAACGAGCGACGGCAAAAGAAGGCACGACACAGATCTGATGCTTTAGTGATGTATGATATGAGAGCAGCTCCTACCCTGCTGTGCAGTAAAAGGTGCAGCTTCCTCCTCCTGCTGCAGAAACGGACGGAAAGGTGACCCCTGTGCGCGTGCTGCTCCTTCTGCATCCGAGAGATCACGATGCAACGACGGAGTGGGGGTGGGAGGGGTGGGAGGAGGAGGAGGAGAAGAAGGGGGTGGGGTGGGGGGGGTGGGGGGTGGACCATCCTCAGTGGAACACCATGCACGCTGCAGCCTTTATCCACGTCAACATGCTACGTATTAGCAAGTGCATGAGGAATGACAGCTTTTATGATGTTGGTTATATCATTTTTAATGGAAAGGCGAGCCTTAATGGCTATCATCTCTATTTTAATGTGAGGGATAGCATGACTGCACTTCCTTGTTTACCTATAAATAATGCATCATGTCTGTTTCATTCATTGTAATGGATGTTGACCCATCATCGCCTCCTTTTGATGCAACTGACAGTGGACTTTCTTGTTTACCAGTAAATAATGCATGCTTTTCATGTGCTGTCTGACACAAATAATCACTTATCTTAACCTCATATTTTCCCTCAGTTTATTAATGTCCAGGTTGATTATGTATGTGGAATAGCATCGTCAATAGGTCGTCCCCTTGGAATTCTAAGGTTCTGTCTGCGTTCTCAGCAGCTTTGACACATTGAGCTTAAAAGATTTTGCATTTCAAATTGCAGAATATGTGGAACACGTCTATTTCATACAGGAAAATGACAGACACCCTAAATGTATTCTAAACGTACAATATCAAAATCCTTTCAAATTTGTAAATGAGCTTTTTTGGAACAGGTCAAATGCAGACAGAACCTTCTAATCCTAAGAACTCACTTTTTGCTGGAAGGTATAAGGTTCTATGTTCTATGTTTTGTGACAAATGATCCTTTTCTTATTCACAAAAGTATTGATTGATAGATTAAGTACAATGGTCAGTGTGAAATATTTTGTCCAGTGCAGAGGTCAGTTTTAGGTAGAAACCATTAGTTTAAATTTCCTTTAGATTTCACAGCAACCAGCTACTGTAATAAACAGGTAAGGTCAGTCTAAAGGCAGTATGAAGTTTTGGTTTATGTCAGAAATGTGACTCTAATGCACCAACATGACTTTTATTGGGAGAAAGAAGAAAAAAAGATGGATGAATGAATGAAATTAATGTTTATGTTGTAGGTCAGAGCCCATTAATTAAAATGTTCACTTTTTAATTACCTTTAAGACTTAACATTTACAAAATTTAAGACAATAAGGCTTTTTTAAGAACTGCAAGAAGACAGGCAGAGTTTCACCAACATGTTTCATGTTTCATAAAGTTTTGTAAACTTTTCTTGCAGTCACTGAGCAGTGCGGCGACATGACAAAGAAGCAGAACCTGATCGATCCTCATATGTGTATTCAGAGTGTTGACTGGTTCACAGAGTTTGATTTTGGTGAGAGAACCTTTTTGGTTTTGTAGATAAAGAGATAAATGCCCACAACTTAAAAAAACAACTCACAAAATATTAAGAAGTTGTCACAGAGTAAGAAAATTTTGACAAAAATGTCAGATAGAACCTTATCATTTCCAAGGGGATGAGATGTTGATCAAACATCATTTCCCTTTTATTGAAATTGAAAGGCACAGTGTAAACATATTCTTGTTTGCCTATAAATAATGCACATTTTAGGCACTTTCTAATAGAAAACATTATGTCTTTGTATTTATATATATTTGGTTCTTTTTGTACACATTTTTTCACAGTTGTATACAGAGTTCTGTATGTCCCTAGTAAAATTCTATGTATTTTTGATTGAATGTAAGTCAACACATCCTTCTGCACACTGTACACTCAAACAATACTTTGTTGTATGAACTTTATTCAGTTATTCAAACAAATTGAAGTTCAATTGTTGATGGAACAACATTGAAACATGCCATTACAATTTACTTGGGTTTCATTGTGAAGGATCTGCTGTATTATATGTTTTATGTGTAATATTATGTTTATTACTTTGTGTTATAATATGTATGTGATATGTGTGATCTGTGTGTATGTTTTATGTGAGCTGTTCCTGAGAGTAGAATGGGAGGATATACTGAACAGTAATTCTTGGCCATGTATAGGTTAAGAACAGTTGTTGATTCTGTACCTAATTTGCCTATATTTTCTATGTTGAGTGAGTCAGCATGGTGTCTGTGAAACGTGCGCACAATGAAGAAATGAAAGAACAATGTTACAGACGAAAGGCTGGCCTCCTCTTCCTAGTTCTGATGAAGGAAGAGTGGTCTAAAAATTCTATAGTTGGAATGGAATCCACTTTAGATTAAACAGTTTTATTCATTTAAATGTACTCATGACTTTTAGCAATTTTATGTAAACTCGTTACTTAAATGAATTTATTTAATGTCAGTAATGGCACCATTGGGTCATTTTTATGAGTGGAATAGACAATTGCTGTCTATTTGCTGAATTGAGCATACTGGAGGAAAAAAACAACATAAAATGTGGCCTGTGCAAAAGTTATGACATGTTCATGTTCAACTCAGCAAACAAATAGAAATTTTTCACTAAAACATCCCAAAAAATGTCATATTTAAGTGTGTTGTCTGTGGAGGATGTGTTCATTTAACTAGTTTGATTGACTAGACAGTCAATCAAACATATGATTTGACCGGAGGTGTCCAAACTTTTGCATACAAAACATATGTCCAAACTCTCCAGCTTCATTTTCAGTGAAATAGTAATTTATTTAAATAGGTTGTATTGATGAATCTTGAAGAGTCTCAAGGCTTCATTTATACATAGAAACAAATGACATTGAAGGTGAAGATGTCCATTTTCTGCCGTTCTGTTTTGATAGATTTTTGTTGACCCATCATCATCTCATGTTTAATGTAATTGAAATGGAAAGTATGCTTTGACTTCCGTGTTTACCTATAAATAATGCATGTTTCACGCACTAACAGAACCCATGACTGATGTTTACCACCTCTGAAAAAAGTTACATACATAATGTGGATGGAAAAGCAGAAATAATAGCAGTAATAACATCATTTAAATCCCTTTGTAAGGCAATAAATAGCAAATAATTAACCACTGATGAATCCAATTGAGAAGCGATATTAAGCATTGATCACTGCTGCTTTAAATATCACTCCTGTTTACCTCAGTGTAATAACAGGCTCATGTCTTTTTTAGTCACTTTTCACTGTTGCATATTCATTAGTCAGTTCTTAAGTCTTTATTCATATTGATCTTGTTGTGTTATTGTTTTGCTATCTGGTGTAGATCAGAGGAGGATGGGTGTGTCTTTGACTCTTGGTTTCTCTCAAGGTTTCTTCCTTTTGGTTTTAGGGAGTTTTTTCTTGCCGCTGTCACCACTGGCTTGCTCACCTTGAGGCTTGGACCTGCTTTGTGACAATGTCATAAAAGTGCCATATAAAAAATACTTTAATTTACTTTTTTATACTTACATTTTTCAAAATGCTCACTGGCATTCATTCAAAAAAAATTGGCCCTTAAAGCCCAATTTCATACTAGACCATTGCCTCTCATTGGCCCTTCTAGATAATAAGCTCATAATGGCTGTTCTAGTTCATGTCTTTTAATGGGCCTTGTAGAGCATGGCTTTTCAGTGGCCTTTCTAGATCAGACTATTCTAATGTCCCTTTTGGAACAAGGTCTTCCAAAGTCTCTTCTAAATTGTGGTCTTTTAATGGCTCTTCCCAATTCTAATGTCCTTTCTAGAACATGTCCTTCTAGATCAGTGTCTTTTGATGTGTCTTCTAGACAATGGCCTTTAAATGGTCCCTTTAGAAAATGCTTTTTCAATGGCTCTTCTAGACCATGGCCTTTAAATGTCCTTTCTTAGTCAAGGTCTCGCAATGTCTCTTCTGGCCATTCAATGGCCCTTATAGACCCTGGCCCTCTAATGCCCCTTTTTAAACAAAGACTTCCAGTGTCCCTCCTAGAACATGCCCTTGTAATGTGTCTTGTAGATTATGGCCTTTCAATGCCCTTTCAATATATTGTTTTTTCAATAGCTCTTCTAGATGATGGGCTTCTAATGACCCTTTTAGATTATGACCTTTTATTAACCCTTTTTGATCACAGCCATACATCAAATAAGAATAGCTTTTTCTTCCGTCTTCTTGCATGTGTAATCAGAGATCTTTGCCTGTTGGCTACTAGTGCACTATTAGGTCAAGCCTGCATACTCATGGTTGATTCTTATGACACTAACCTTCTGGGGTCCACACACTCACCTGTGCATCAAAATTGGTGTTTCTATATCTGTTTCTCTATCTTTGTGATAATAATGAGCAGAAATGTAGTTTAAACATTTTTTTAAATCTGTAGAGTCGCTCTTTCCATTCTATCTTATCACAGATCCTACACTCTCAGAAATAAAGATAAGATAAGATGGGGTAGTATCCTCAAGGGTACATCTCAGTACCTTTAGTCAGGGAACATAATTGTACCATAATCCACTGAAATTATATTTTCTAAGCTGTACTGACTCCACTCACCCCGTCTCGTCTCCAGGCTTTTTATTTTATTGTTCTGTTTTAAAACATTAGGTCATGAAAAGGTACAAATATGTACATTTCACCTGGAAAAACTTATTTAAGGCTCACAGTTGGACCTTAAAACCACTTTTGTACCTTTAAGGGTACATTTACATTGTTTATACCTTAATGAACAAATAATGTACCTGCACAGAACCTTTATTTCTAATAGTGTAGGTGACTCACATCCAGGATGATGAGCCTATGAAGAGGGGCTGAGACACATGTCATCTGCCTCTCACAGTGTGTAACTGGTGGATTAGTGTATCTGTCTACATTTTGTGTGAAACTGACCAATGGAGACTCAGGAAACTACTAAGGACTGACCCATCATGCCGGAAACCCTTCATTCTTTATTCAGTCCACATCAGAGACACATGTGAAATGGCGTACAAAGAGTTTACAGCTGCTGAAGTTGCTGTAGCATTTTTGGAAAGTAGCGACGAAGATAATGGAGCATTTTGATGTGAAGCATGGGGGTGTCACGTTACGTGCAAGTGCCTTTAAGGGCGAATGTAAGACGATATACAAATATTGAGAAAATGTTCTAAGACTCCAG